AGGCAATTTTATCTATACTCCTCTTCTTTATATCAACATCAAACTGATTCAATTCTAATTTTAATTTTAATTAAAATGATTAAACTGTCAAAATTATGTAGGTGCCTCTTTTCCACTTGATAGCATTCATATAATGTTTCTTTGTATATGCGAAATCTAAGATTTTTGCATTTATTTAAACTAAAAATAAAATTTGATCTAATTATTTTATTTGGAAGCATTTTTGGAATTGAACCCACTCTGAATTACTATTTAATTATTACATGACATATGCATTAACCATATAATATATAATTATTACATCAAACTGATTTGGTCAATGATGTTTGACAAAACTATATGCGGTACTACTGTTGTTAGGCAAAAATATTTTTGGCAAATAGCAAAAGTCAAAACTAAATCTAGCAAAAGTCAAAACTGGCAAAACTCTGACAAAATAGTGAAACTATGACAAAATGGTGAAACTTTGGCAAAACCCTGGTAAAGCTAAAACCTCAAGAGAAAGTTAAATACAGTAAAGATCAAATTCTCTAAGACTTTAGAAAGACTGAGCCATGTTAGTAAGTTAAAATATTTTGCATATAGCTATTAAGCATAGCATGTAACTTATAATATACAGAAGCAATAAACAAAGCAATAGCCTTTTGTTTGTATTTGAGTACTATTAAAAAAATCTACCAGACTTCAGTCTTTTGAACTTATAAATAAATTCACCTTGAAAATTCAAGGCATGAAATCCTGTTTTCTTTTAGTAGCACTATCTATATATTAATATTATTTATATAAAATAAACATATCTAAATATTTAAATAAATTTATTATTATAGTATTAAGATTTTTTCTTTTAATATTTTGTTAAAATTTTATATATATGTAAATAATTTGTTAATATTATTATTATTAACAATTATTTCCCGATGCTTTATTCTAAATCTCAGAGAAAATAATTGTTGTATTATTAACTTATAATCAAAAAACATCATATACAGCATGATTATGCACATATATGTGACAAAATAAATTTGTATTAGGTTAAAATTAAATATTATGTTGGGTAAAAGAGCTATAGGTCAAAACCCAGACAAATGAAATCCCAACAGATCATAATCTTAACAAAAAAGTTATGATAGCAAAAATCATAACAGCCAAAAAACTGATAGTTACAAATTCTAACAATTAAAAATTCTGATGAAAATAATCTAACTCTAGCCTAATTCTTATCTAAAGTGACCTAACCTTAAATTAATTAAATTATAAGAGGCTACTTCACTTTAAATATACCCATATTCCGAATTTTCTATTGAAAATTATGACTGTAATTTCTGATTGTTGGGATTTTGATTATCAGGATTTTTTATTATGACTTGTCAGGATTGTAGTAATTATATCTATTCCAAAATCCAAATTTGGGCATCTATAGGTAGGTTATCTAGATAGTAATATTAATAAAAAGATTAATAATTAAAAAAAAGATTAAAAATTTTTTTAATTACTTTTCTATCCTTGTTTCTTTACTAGTTTTTTTTACTAATTTTATTGTTTTTTTTTCAGTTTTTCACATTTTAGCAGTTTTACCAGTTTTGCCAATTTTGCCATTTTGGCATTTTAATTTTTTTTTTGACAAAAATCAAAACTAGTTTTGTCTTTTGCCAATGGCAAAACCTCTAGGTTTTGCCTAACAACACTATGTGGTACTATAAAAAAAATTAATTAATATTAAGGTATTTTTTTTGAATTTAGTATAGTAAAAGATGACTTGCATGTTTTTAGATATCTAGAGTGAATTGATTTACTTTTCTTGATTATTTTAGCATAATTCTATTCTTAAACATGTTTATAACAAAGTTATATTGAAATTTTTTTAATGTTGATATTTATTTACAAAAATTCTGCTTCATCTTGTGAATGATTTAAAGAAAGATATCTTCATTATAAGTAAAAAAAAATTTAATATTAGAACATAAAATTTTTTAATATAACTTTGTTATAAATGTGTTTAAGAATAGAATTATGCTAAATTAATTGAAAAATGTAAAGTGAATCGCTCTAGACATCTAAAAACATGCAAGTTATCTTTTACTATTAAATCATATATAAAAAATAATTAATAATCTGATCACTATCCTGATTACTAAATTCAAAAAAAAAATCCTTAATTGATTTTTATATAATATTGCATATAGTATTGTCAAACATAGTTAACTGAATACTCAACATCAAACCTGCTCACCTTAAAATCCATCACTTTTTTACTTTAAATTCATCACTTTTTACAAATGTATTTATAGTTAAATGTTTGACTTACTATTATAACTGCATTATAAACCTAGGGTTATGTAAAAAGTCACCCTAATGTACAAAATTTTGTGATCTTTGAATTTAGAAGTAATTTTCATATGTACATGTTACATACATATCAGTTACTTACCAGTTTTTATATTTTAATTTAATAACTCATCATTTTTTTTACAAATATAAGTTCTCGATTATTACAGTATTCTGATTGTACATTTTTGCTTATATATTTAACATGTCAAGCATCATACTCAGCCTATTTATTACTTGAATTTTATTTATAGAATATGCATATCTAGCGTATGATAGTCCCACATTGCAATAGACAAATGTGCCCTCTCACAACTTAAAGTATTCTTTGAAGAATTCTAAGTTCAGTGCACCAATACAATTTGGAGTATATCTGATGAATATGGATACTCTATAAATATATATTCTTACTAGATCGAACTCTTTTTCTCTATTTTATAACAAAAAAGATATACATTGTACAATATTGATTTTGAACAATAAAATACTATATTATATAAATATGCAGATATTAAAATGTTGATAATTCAGTTTTTATTATGTTTAAGTGACTGTTTTAAGTACAAAGAAAAAGTGAACATGACCAGGGCAGCCTCTAATTTTATGGATCATGTGGGTGAAACCACCAATGTTCATTATGCAATACAGAATCAAAATTTTCAAAGTGATGGACTATGAATCCAATATTAATTCATTTGCAGCAATTGCTGTAGGTGATGCTACCTATATAACCTGTAAAATCAGTGATCATTCTGTTCATGTACAAAAAGTACCTATTCATTTTCTATCCATTCCAAAATCAAATTCTTGTACATTCTGTCTATTATTGTCAAGACACCTAAAACAATAAATAAATATTTTTTGCCCTGACTGCCAATTAAAGCTCTTTTTCTTTTTGCTAATTAATTTATAATTCAGATTAAATCAATATGTATATGTACAAACCAGTCAAACAATAGGATTTTGAGATAGCCATTATGGCTCTATTTAATTGTTTACTAGAGATGAGCTAATTTAGAAATAATTTCTAAAAGAATGCTATGCATATATGTTGTTTTAGAAGTTATTTCTATATTAGACCTTTAATGGCTAGAAGTGAATAAAGTTATTGTATTGTACACTCGCAGATTAATATAAACTGTGTTTCTTATAAAAAAAAAAAAAAGTTCATTAAAAAAAATTTTGCCTTATTGTATAAATAAACAAACCATAGCATTTATGCCTAAGGGCATCTACTTTGTGGAAAAAAAAAAAAAACATAAGATTTTTTTAAATCTACATAATGCTACCCAACCTATAAGCAGCATAAGATTGCAAATGAGTTTATGAACCATTATTCTGATTTGAAAATTGATCAGTTGACAATGTCAAAAATCCTAAAAAAAAGTAATGAGTATCAACAAATTGAAGATGATGCACAAGCTGAAAATACTTTCTGTTATTATTCCATAAAGCATCCGATATTAGAATTTGCAATGAATATGTAGATGAAACAGATTTCAGATAAAGGACTAATTATATCAGAAACATTAATAAAAGAAAAAGGTCATCAATTTGCATAAGCATTCAGCATATATGAAGAATCACTAGCATTTTCGAATGAGTGGATTTCAAGATTTAAAAAGCACAATAGATTAAGAAAAGTCACATTACATAGTAAAGCAGCAAGCACACTTCTCAAAACTTTACCTGCAGAGCATGTTAAACTACAAGAACTTCTTTTCTATTATGATCTAAAAAATATTTACAATGCTGATGAAATGGGTCTATTTTATAGACTGCTTCCCAACCAAACACTTTCTAAAAAAAAAAAATTGGCTAGAAAAAAGATAGTAAATTAAAAAAAAATATTTAAATTTTATTTATTTATTTTTTTTTAAAAAAAAAGGTAAAAAAAAAGAAAAAAATAAAAATAAAATGAAAAAAAATAAAAAGCATATAGGCAGATTTAACATAAGTAAATCACTTATATGACAATACAGAATTCTATATATAAATCAGAAATTGATAATTTTGTAAATTTTAATCCTAACTGCATCAAAAATCTAACTCTAAACAAATCTGGCTTTTAATGTTCTCTCTTATTTAGTAATTGTCAATCAGAGTAAATATCACATAATATCACATAATTACATATAAGCATGTTTATTGGTAGTAAGGTGTTCGGGATTATGATGCGACATAATATGTACATAATTTGCACATAATTTGCTCACTTTCATGCAGCATGTGAACAAAAATTGATTAGTTAAATGAATAAACCAGGTTGTCTCTCTGACTGTAATTATCTAACTTGCTGTTTTTTTGAAATTTTATTGCTAATAATAACTCAAAATTCATATAATTCACATAATTTATGATTTGTCATATGGGGGTAAGTCAGTAGAAAAGGGACAAATCATTTTTAGTGAAATTTTTTTAATTTTTAAATTTAAATAACTCAACAACTATTTAATCAAATTTGCTAAAAATTTTTTTATTTTAATCTTGAAATTATATAGAATTAAAATAAAAAAATTTTTATTAAATTTAATAAAATAGTTTTTAAGATAATTAAGTTTAAAGTTAAGAAAACTTTTACTTAGAAAAAATTTGTCCTTTTTCTACTGACTTACCCCTATATATATAATTTGGCTATCTTCGCATCATAATCCTGGACTAGAGGTGCAGATGAATCATCCTAATGATTGCTGTAACTTTGCTATAACTATAGCAAGTAATATATTATCTGTTATTATTATAATTATAGCATTATTGCTATAACTTGTTATATTACTTACTATAGTTACAACACATTATGGCAAATTGGGATGATTCACCTGCACCTCTATTTTGAACATCCTAATTGGTAGTTTGCCAATTCATGTAATTATTATCGATTATTGAAACATCACATTTGTGATCTGCAAATGAGTCAAATCTGCCTATCTAGAAAACAAAAAAAAAACAAAATAAATTTTTTTGTTTTTAAAAAAAATTAAATGAAAAAAAATTTTTTTTTTTAGGACAAGACAAGAGTAACTATACTTCTATGCACCAATTCAACTGGCTCTGATAAATTATGCCTACTAGTAATTGGAACTTCTAAAAAGCCATGATCATTTAATAGGATAAATATATTATAACTACTAGTAACATATAAAAATAATAAAAAAGCATGAATGAGGACTAATATTTGGAAACAATGATTGAAATTTATTGACAATAGATTCCACATTGAAGGTAGACAGGTCTTACTTTTGGTTAATAATGCAGCTTCACACATGTCCTCAGAAGCAAATAATTATACCCAAAAATAAGTAATATGATCGAAGTTCAAAACATGACTGAAGAATCAATATTGAAATATGACTCTTCAGAAAAAATTGAGAAACTTTAAGAGCAGCCCCAGGAAAGGCCACAAGAAAGGCCATGAGGAAGGCTACAAGAAAGATTTCAAAGACCTAATTCTATTGATTCTGGCTGATCGAGATGGATTTCAAGTACTCTTTGCCTTACCAATATCACTATACAATTTCTTTTACCAAATACTACTGCCCACCTTCAACCCATAGATACTGGCATCATTATAAACTTCAAATCAAAATACAAGAACCTGTACTGTTGTTATTTGATCAAGTGGTTTGAAAAGAATAAAGAACAAAGTTAAAATTCATATAACAAACCTCTATATGAGGTATCATACATTAAAAGAGTCCATTTTTATATTTAAATTATTTTAAGTAAATTAGATTTAAATAATAATCAACAAATAGAAGCAAATATAAAATTGTATACTTTAAGTTCATTTTGTAGATCTTTTTATTATGAGTGCTGCCAAAGCAAAACCTGCAAGCAAACTTTGAGATATTAATAAAGCAAGTTTAACTCTGAGAAAATTGTAATATTACGTATTAAATCATCACATATAATTAGTATTCAGGTTGTTTCTATATCATATGTGCTTATCATTATTTAATAAAACTTAGACCCTAAGTCTTGTTAAATGACACAATGATTTAATGCATAATTTTCTCAATTAAACTCACCTTATTGATACTTCAAAATTTGCTTACAGGTTTTGCCTTGGCCACTCTTATACAATTATTACTTATAACAAGCTTTTTATTGAATAGATACTTATTCAAAAATAAAATAAAATAAATTGTTAAAATGGATCCTTTTAATATGTGACACTTCATATAATAAGTTCTGAATATAATAAACTTAAAATTTAAAATTTTTTTTTAATGATTTGGTATAGAATTGTCATGACCTTAAGAAATAATAATTTTTAAAGAATGAACTTTTTTCTTTCAGAATCATCAGTTCGTTATAGGAGGAGTTAAACATTAGTATACTAATAATTTTTATAAAATGCAGAAAACTTAGTCTAAAAAAAGCTATTGATTTTATTTCTGATGCTTGGGAAGACATGAGCAAGACTATCATAAGAAATTGTTGGAGAATTATCAAAATTATGACTGAAGTAAATGAGATGAAAGGTGAGTTAAAGGAAGAACCTTAAAAAGAAACAACTGAAATAAATGATGCTGCTACAATTAGTGTTGGCAAATAACCTAAGTCATAATATTTTTTTAATATAACCTTAGTCATATAATCATATGACTTGTCATAGGTTATATACATAGGTCATATTAAATAATAGTAAAAAAAATTTTTGCTATAAATTTTTCTATATTAAAAAGTCATAAGTTATATCAATATTTATTATGACCAAATGACTTATAACAGGTCATATAGGTCATATAGGTTATATAGGTCATATAGGTTATATAGATCATTTAAGGTCATCTGCCAACACTGGCCATGATAGTTGACAACCTTTTAGCTGCTGCAACCAACCCAATGACTCAAGAACTGAAAGATAATATTGAAGAATACATTTATATGATCAACCAACTAACTGCAACTGAGAACTTGTTAACTAACAAGGATATTATTAAAATGATGATAGATAAATTTTGTGAAGATGATGATGATAATGAAGATGACAAAGAACCACTACCACTCTCAATAACCATGATGGAAGCTATTAAAGCCTTGAAAAAGGTTATAAGATATCAGGAAAGTCTCAATATAGGATATAGGTTTGATGAGAATGAGTTAAGAGCATTACAAAAAAAACACAAAGAATGGCAATATGAAAAGGAAAAAAACAAAAAACAATCTTCACTCTTATTTTTTTTTAACTGTACTGATGCTGCACTCTAAGTTTAGCTTTCAATTTTTGTTTGTATTTTTGGCTTTTTGTATGCCACTTATTTGATTTTAGCTATTA